AAATGAGGACCTAATGTCGGGGGTTTAAGTGGAGAGAAAATGTTTTGAGAATGATGTACAAATGCGCTTTACACAATTGATGTGTGTATGTATTGCGATAACAGTTGTATGAGCCCCTAATAAAATGTTTAAAAAAAAAGAAAGAAAGAAAACAACATAAAGATTAAAAAAAAAACAAGAATTGATAAGGAGAACTCTATGTTATAAATAATTACATATATAATTAAGTATGAGTAGTTAAAACTAATTTAACCTGAATGACAGGTTTACTCAAAATATTTCATTATGTGTGTTTTGTATGTTACAATTCATTTGGATTATTTTAAATAAAATATTTTTCTTTTGTGCAAAAAAAAAGATAGACAATTGGATTGTTTTAATGGGGACTGTTATGAATAATAAGGAATCTTGGTGGTACTGTGGGTTAATCATTGGGTGATTAACCTGCAAGGTTGGCAGTTGAAGTCCTCTGGGTGCTTCCATGGGAGAATGATGAATGCTGTCCGCTCTTAAAAAGATGTAAAGGTCTGACAGTGTAAGACATGACAAAATAATAATTTATAAATTATCAAGGGAGAGGAGGTGGGGAGGGAGGAGCAAAAATGAGCTGATACAAAGGGCTCAAGTAGAAAGCAAATGTTTTGAGAATGATGATGGCAACAAATTTGCAAATGGTCTTGACACAGTGGATGTATGTATGGATTGTGATAAGAGTTATATGAGCCCCCAATAAAATGATTAAAAAAAGAAAAAAGAAAAGATTTAAAGACTTCCACCATCAGAAGCCCTGTTTGGGGGCTGTAAGTCAACATCAACCTGATGGTTGTGGGTTTGGTTGTTTGCTTTAACAACTCAACATCAACAGGCTCATTTTGTTGTATCATGAAAATGTTGTGAATACCATGAGTAATGTTCACATAGTCAAAATAACTAAAAGTGGAATTTTTAAGTTTTATGGTAAATGTATATTAACATTTTATGAAACTGCCACACTTTTTCCAAAATGGCTGTACTATTTAACATGCTCAACATCTCTGGATGAGTGTCCCTTTTCCCCTTTCTATTGTCATAAACAGTTACAGCCTCGGAAGCCAAAAGGAGGTCGCTGTGAGTCAGCATTGACTCGATGGCAGTGAGTTTGGCTTTGGTTTGGTCCCAATTTCCATATACTTTGTAGAATTTCTTTCTGGTTATAGCCATTCTAGTGGAATTGTAGGGCTAGCTCATTGTAATATTTTAATTATCCAAATGACTAATGTGGTTGAGCATCTTTTCTTGTATTTTGTTGACATTAGTGTGTCTTTTTTGGTGAAAAATTTGTTTATCCAAATTTTTATTCATTTTTTTAAAAGGGTTGATTGTACTAGTACTCTTTCTTAACATAGTCCTGATACTGTTGGTTCTTGAGCCAGGAAAGGTTTAGAGGCACTAAACTTTCCACACAGTAAAAAATCCAAATATACCATATAATTGACCATCTCGAAGGAGTCAGAATTGAAATGTGTGGGTCCCCTTGTGTATGGATTTTCCACCGTCCCCCATTGCTGTTGTAGTGAGCTCAAGTATTGTGATTCTCTGCTTAAAAGTCCACGTGATGCTAACCATCTCCCTGTGAACTGTCATCTCAATACATTAACGATGAACAGTACTGTGTCTTCCTTCTGTGTACGAGCATTGCATTTTAAAAATGTGCCCCAGAGTAAAACAATCTTTTTGAAGTTATTTTGAGAGGTATTTTCATAATTTCACTGTAGATATTTGTTGGTAGTGTTTGGAAATTTTTTATACTAGTAGTTTTGGGTAGATACCTAGGCTTTTCTGCGTGCAAGATGCAGTCAAATACAATAATTTTGGGATTCTCTATTCAAAATTTGTTAGATAAATTACCAGTGACATTGAAAATCTATCTTTATTAGTTAGTGGTGGATATCTTACTCTGAACCAGGTGTCTCCTCCCCCTTTAACTTACATGTGCACTGGGGTAAAGCTTACACATTAGCTTTGACTTGTCTACTAGACTGTAAAGAACTTGAGGGGTACAGTAGTGAATTGCTTAGCTGTTACTGGAAAGGTCAGCAGTTTGAACCCACCAACAGATTACAGGGGAAAGATGTGCAGCCTGCCCCCTGGGAGACCCTCAGGGCAATTCTGCTCTGTCCCAGAGGGTTCCTGTGAGTTGGCACCAACTTGAATGGCCTTGGATTTGGTTCTGAGTAGACATCAAAGGAGAGAAATTTAGTAGGCAGTTGGATATACACCTGAAGGTCAAGGAATAAGCTCTGCATAGAGGTGTACATTTGTGAGTTGTCTGTTGGCAAAAATGCTTTCAAGGTTAAGTTTGTAAGAAAATTCCTTTTATTGTTTTAAGGAGGACTGGTGACGTTCACATTAAGTTGAATCATCATAAAGGGATGAGCATCAGTGATGCTTGTATAATTTTTAAAATTTGCTTGCATTATTTTGATACTTAATACTTGGCATTTCATTTTTTTCTGCCGAGTAATGTGATTTTTAATTGTTACTAAGTTTCTAATTATAGTCACCATTTTATATTAATTCAATGTACAGTTTGGCCTGTGATGATGATCCTGACCTTTGCTGCATAGATCCTTTTCTCTCTCATTCCTAGGTAAATATTGTGGTCTGGGGTTGCAGTGGAACCGCTCGATTGAATCAGAGAGCAGTGAGCTTACGGTGCTGTTCATGAGTGGGATCCATGTGTCTGGACGAGGATTTCTGGCCTCATACTCGGTTTTAGATAAACAAGGTAATTTTCTCTTCTTATAATGTTTACCACCTTTTTTAACTTTTGAGGATAAATAATGATTTCTCCCATCACCTGTGTATCTAAATAGAAAGGCTGTTCATTATGCATGTGTTTTGAGAAATAAAATTAGATCTGTTCCTGAATTCCAAAAGTTAAAAAGGTAAAAACGTTTACAGTCATTCCATGTGCTTTCCATTCCTTCAAGTAGAAATACTGATCCTTTAATTTCATAAGACTGGTGCACAAACTTATTAGTAACGTTAAGTATCCGATAAGTATTAAAATTTAAAGCTTTATTATGCACACTTGCCTATTGGGTGAAAGACCGTCTCCCTTTGCGCTCATGCACACATTCTCATTTCTTCTTCAACCTCACCCCAAGGACAGAGACCAGCCAGGGGAAGAACAAGAGTGAGACAGTGCATTGCCATCCTTTCACTCTGACATCCTCAAGGGTTTAGATTGACAAATATGTTAGGCAGAGTGCTCTAGAGAACAAGACCAGGGCACTGATGATTACATATATGTAAAAGTACAAGTTTATATAGTGAAAAGGAATGTAACAGCAGATTAGTCCACACAACAGTGCAGAGAGTTCAGTCCAACTTAACTTTTGTGGGTCAATTCATACACTGAAGGTCCTTCCAACTCAATGCTGTTCACTAGCCCAGGGCCAAGGAAGCAGACAGTAGGAAGATGGAGTGGTGAGGTGTAGCAGAGGCCAGTATGCACCGTAGCAGAGCAGGTTGTGGTAGATAGAGCCTCACGGTGGAGCCAGGCAAAATGGCTGGCAGGAGGTGCGGCGCTTGGAGTGGTGGCAAGGTGAGCGGAGTCGTCCTTCAGGCAGCAGGCATGGCGAGGTGGGGCTGCGCCACGCCAGGGAACAGCAGGCACAGCGACATGATCCACCACGGTCCTCAGGTTGGCTCGCCCCACAGATAACAGGACACATATTGAGGCAGGGCAGCTAAATCAGGCAGCATGCTGGTCCAGGCACCAGGGAGAGAGACAGGGGGCCTGCCTCCAGCAAGCCATTTATCTTAGTCATACCTCTAAAGGAGGTCATCAAGTTGCGACTCAATTGACAGGCTAAACTCCACCCATATCTTCTTATGGGTGCAATGTTGGCACAATAAACCTAACTATCACAATAGATGAGAAGATTAAAAAATAAATAAACCCACTAATTTACCAATTCTGTTTCTTTGTCTTAAAATCAAGTTTAATTATTGTTGATTTGATAATTTTCTTCTCTTTGTCTGTTATTTATCATCAAATTCATAGTTTCTAGAAAATAAGTCTTTCCTTGAAAAGCAAGTTATTACATTAGATACTTAAATTATAGAGTTTTTGATCTTCAAGCACCCCAACATCTGGCATCAAAATTACTTATGCATTGACTAATCTCAGAGAATAGAATCAGCATGTTGTAGACTTACAGGTGTCTTGCCACATTTCACAGAGCTATGTCACTGTTTCAGATGAGTCTGTGCTCCCAGACATTTTTGACGTGTCCATCTTCATCCAGAACTTATTTGCTGTACGGTCATAATTTTAGGAAAGTCTCGTTGTATCATGTCTCCTAGTTCTAGTGTAATCTTTTCTATGGCTTTGTGCTGGCCACCACGTATTTGTTTTACTTGGTGTGATGTGATTTGACTAAACCATATTCTAGACGAGCCGTGGTGGCACAGTGGTTACAAGTTGGGCTATGATCTGCATGGTTGGCAGTTCAAAACCATCAGCATCTCCTCGGGAGAAAGTCTAGGCTTTCTACTCTTGTAAGCAGTTACAGCCCTGCAAACACATAGGGGATTGGTATGAATCAGCATTGATTCAATGGAAGTGCGGTTTTTGTTTTTAATATAGTCTACAGAATAATGGTTGCATTTCTTACTACTTCTTGGGTGGCCTGTCAGTCACAATTTCATGGAGTGATTTATTTATTTGAAAGGTGGGTTGGTTGGCTTTGGTTGAGAGATCTGTACAGAAAATTTTACTACCACACAGGGACTATTACTACTTACCCCCAGCTTAGTAACCTAGTTCACATCTTCGAGTATTAGGAACTGAGTAGATCATAAAAATCTTATTTCCACAACTTCCTGCATTTGTTACCCTCTTGGAAATTTGTTAATGTTATAGTACTGTTTTTGACAAAGTTGTCCAAGTTGTGTGATTAATTTCTGTTACTTTGTGAAAGAGCCCTTTGTCAAATTAAGTTCTCATCAATCCCTTTTTCCTTCTGTGTGCCTAGCACTGGGGATATGGCAATAAATCGGATACAATCCCAGCTTCATGGGGTGGGGGGAAAACCGACATTACAGTATGCCAAAGGAAAAGTTAAAAACCACAGGGGTCTGAGAAGTGGGAGATTGAGAAAGAACAAATGTTTCCTGAGAGGACATTGCCTTTCCATTGAGAACGCAAGCATGAGCTGGGGCTTTGAAGCAGGCAAGGTAGAGAGCTGGTCCCGGGAAGTGAGTCAAAACCACATAAAACCAAACAGGAGGGCTGGAGTGGAGTGGAGTGCGTGTGAATACGTGACATTATTGAGGGTCCTGTAGAAAATCTGAAGGTTGGGTATTTTTGAGTGCTTAACGTGGGTGGCAGCTGGTTCACATTTTGCATGTTCATCCCTGCTATGTGAAGAGTGAGTGGAAGAGGGGCAGGAAGAAATAGAAGGGAGGCCAGCTAAGAGGTTTGGGGGGGAGACTGGATCAGGCATGACTGAATTAAGTAAATGCAACTCTAAATTTATGCCGTTTAAAAGATCTAAGATCAGGTGTTTCTACAAAAAGGAAACATTTCAAAAGGTTAGGGTTCATTCTACTTGACTTTAAATTGTAGCGAGGAGTCTCTTGGCAGGAGCAAGCCCTTTTGAGGAGGCGCAGAAAACGGCAGGCTTTCTACTCCTGTAGAGTTGCTGTCGCAGAAACCACTGAGGCAGTTCTACCCTGCCCCCCTGGGGTCGCTGTGAGTCAGCATCCACTCCATGGCAGTGAGCTGAATGACTGCTGTCTCCCAGCTGCCTAGGGAATTGCAATTTCTTCTGCATCTTGGCTTCTGGTTTTTATAACCTTTATGGTGTTATTCCTCTTTGCTATTTTAAGTGATCTTCATTAGTTATTTCTAGCCTTTTCTTTTACCACCCATTATCTCAGTTTTCACCAATAAACTTCATTTGACAAGACTCCACCAGCAAACTATTTTACTATCGAATAGCAGTAAATGAATATTAGTCAGTATTTCCAATCATGAAAGGATTAATATTTTACTCTGATCTGGTATGATTGCAGTAGATTCTAACTAGACTTCCTGAAAGAGTGAAGAACTTTTGTGACTCTGTCCAGATAGTAGGTGTCATATCACTGTCACCGTTGAGCAATCACTGTTTGAAACACTCAGGACTAGTCATTCTGAGGCCCTGGTATTTTCATTCTAAAAAATAAATTTGAAACCATAGTATTTACCACTGGACCCGAAAAAGAAAATAAATTTGATTGGTGAACAATGCAAATTTCTGTTTTGAATCTGTATTCCAACATTTCCTCCCAAATATCCATTGTCTAAAAAGAACTCCAGATTTCTGGGATGATTCTAAGTATTGATTGACTGATCCCATTTTAAGTAATGTTAATTGTAGAACAGTGAACTCAGAAGGCAGCCTCTCCTTGCTCTGTACCATAAACTGATCTCTGTGTGTACATGTGTAATTAGTAAATGGTGTTTCTGATATGTAGAAAGAAACCATCATTTCCTAGGTAATAATATTACACACTTCAAACTTCACCAGTCCAGAACCTTATCATGGTCAGTGTCATCTGAAGTTTAATTTTATTTTGCAGGGAAGAATAGTAAGTAGTTTAAAATTTCATGTGGAAAGTGAACCCAGACTATACTCTGACGTCATTAATAAATAAGTTAGCTGAAAAATAGAGAGTCACTCCCTCAGCACCGTTCCGTTTTGTAAAGGTATCCTTATGAGAACAAGAGATCTGCAGTTACTGCACATCATGCCGAGGCTAGGGGCCGCGAGATGACATTATTGGGAATGGAACATGTGGAGGGGAATAATGAGAACGTTCCACGTGTAAAGAATGTAGCCAGCGTCACTCAACAGGATGAGTAGAAAATGTTGAATGGGAACCTGTTTTGCTAGTATACTTTCACCAAAAGGATGATCTTTTTGTAAATACTATGAAGTAAAAATACTTTACATATCTGTTAACATTCTTTCTAATTGAAATTCATAGACACTTGCTCATTCATTGTCTATGGACCCCTTAGACACTGAGGACAGTTTGCTTAAGACGTGTGAACAGCTGAGCCTGAAAAATATTCCTATTTTGGCAGGTTCTTATTGCCATAGGATGGATTATTTTTAGAATTAAATAGCACCAAAAAGCATAAAAAGTTTCCGATTGTTACATTCCTTAACCACATTTCTTGTAGATAGTTTCCGGTCTTTCTGCTTACACAAATTGCATCCACTTGTAAATGAAGCAGGGCAAAATAAAGAACTCCTTCCTAAGAAAGTCCAGATTTCTATAGCTGCTTAATTGTTTCCGACAGTGTTCTTAATTTTTAAAAAGGCACATTAGTTCCGTACATTGTTTGCAACCTTCACCGCACAGTCATGTTAGAGGTTCTTTTTGTTTTGTTCTGTACCCTGCTTGTTGTGGCTGGTACCATGGCGTTGGTTTGGACTCACTCTTGTTTCCTGGGACAGGGTAGAGATGCCTTATAAGATTTTCATCACTAAAATTTCCATGGAAACAGGTCTTCCTGATGTGGAGCTGCTTGATGGCTTCAAACCACCAACTTTCCAGTTAGAAGCCAAAAACGTCCTTGTCTAGGTTATGATACATATTTTAGTGGTAATGTTGTGTTCCTAATTGTTATTATTACCTTATCTAACAAGCATTTTTAAACTTTTAAATCATTTTCTTAATTCTCAATTTACATGAAGACATCTAGAGGTGTTGTACACAAAAATG